TTAACTACATGTTCTAACCACTTCGTAAAAGTAAGGAATATGGCCCGGCGTAAGCCGGGCGACCCATGGGTACCTCAATAAAGAGAAAAGTTTCGAGGCGCTGATCAATCCCGCCTGATGGATGCGACCACGCATTCCACTTCCATTAAGAATCTTGAAGACTTAGTGAATGCACGCCGATGTCCAAGTCAGTGCTTTTGTCCTCCCAGACGAGTCTGGCAACAATTAACCGACCCCGGAGGAATGGATGGCATGATTGGCTTGTCGAATACAGAATAATCCTCTTTATATGAAGTTTCAGACTTCATTCAAGCGAACCAGTAAAAAATGTTGAATCAAATTTTTTTGTGGGCAGAATCACAAAAATACCGAATTATACAAAAAGGCAAAATATCGGAACCAGGGCAGTGCCCATCCTCCACCGTCCTTCCCCATGCAAAGGAATATACTCAGACACGTCAACTTGCCATCATCCCAACACCATCTTCGAACCGAAAGGGCAGCTATTCCACAATCGAGGATAGAAACAGTGACACTGATAAAAAGATGCAGGGGCCCTCAACAGGACCTAATGAGATTTGTCAAAATACAGTATAGTCCTCATGACATTGTTGAAGATTTTTTAAAATTAGTACTGGAGGGGTTATAAGTGTATGGAAGAACTACAGCCAATCGGATAATGTTCTCGTTATTCAGTGGATACCAGGTCAGACAATGGACTGGCTTCAGAGGCTCGAAAACGAGCTGAAAATATGAGAAACGCTTGGTAGAAGTGCATAGAACGAAAAAGGATTCCGCCATAGAAGCTCTGGTCAATATCTGATAAAAAGGTTGTTTGAAGCACATTGTCGAATAATTTCTAATGAAAAAGGACACGCCTTCTATAGGATAAGGAGGACGTTCGATTTATAAAAAGCCGAGGATCCTTCGACATAATGTTGGAATCATATATGAGTGGCAATGAATGACTGATTCGAGCAATTCCAAAGATTACCAATACACTACATAACCCGCTCATGCTCTATAGAATGTAAATAAGAACAAGGCGCCCTACATAGCTGTGAAGTCGTTGTCAATACTCAATTATTGTCTGAAGACACAGTTGGCGATAATTTCATGCATCTTTATTGGGTTACAGAGCGAGAGGATTGACGCAAAACAGTCCGTGGGTGGAAAACAGTGGATTTTGGCAGATTACGAAACTCTAAGATTGAACAGGTTTGTAATGACTGAAAGGTATTTGAACAAGATTTCGGTTACTGCAAAGCAAGGTTAACCATTGGCTTGTCTCAGTAGATTACATTCACAACAAAGGTATTCTATTACGAATGACTACTCCCTCTCCAAAGCCGCTGAATTCATTCTTTCTTGAAGGTTTCGAGCAGCAGTATGGGGTTGGGACGGATTCTTGAGCTGGGCCCTCTCTAGGCTGCTGACGCAATTTTGAAATGGCGTCACAGAATGCTGGCGTTGTAGATGAACAAATGAGTCGCACTTGTCCGTGGCTCTCTTAAAGGCTGACCTATTTTCGTTTCAATTCACCTAATGAGCCACTTTTAATAGCCAGATAAGCCACCAATTGGTAAGTGGATCTCAAACAAACAAAAGGGCAATTCAAGAGCAAGAGAAGAGAAAGGGGTTCAACAACCAAGGAATCACAGAATTATTAGCATTCATGTGCTGCTTACTAATTGAGGAAACTCGCCAACTATGCGGTTCAGCTACCTTCACCGCCTACAAGCGTAGCGAAGGAATCGAAGCTCACCACACAGACTGAGGAGTGGGTCGGCACATGCTGTCGCCGTTGACACGCCAAGGTTAGATCGCGCCTCTTGACTTAGCCTTACTATTAGGTTGCAAGGGAAGGTCTTACCGTATTAACAGCTAATTTTCAGAAAATCGTAATCTTCCTAGAACATTTTTAGTGGGAGGTGGTCCTATCGATATCATTTACATTTTACTTTTTTTCGAACATCATACTATGTAGTTTGTTTATCCCATTCTTATCAACGTCCTCTCATCTGGATTAAAAGGAATCGAGAAAGGCAGCTTAAATGTTGCCTTGATTTTCGAATACTCGATCCTTCAGGAAGTTGTCCAGATGTTTGAACAAATGGAAGAGTTGATGACAGGTCTAGTGAGTGAAGTGTATGAGAGAACTTCGATCCGTAGCTCGTTCAACTTCTGGAAGACCATTTGTGACGCATGCGGTGGTGTATTGTCGTGCAAAAGTGTATTCGCTAGATTCCGTATACGTCTCGTAAACTTGATTACAGGACTACGCGGCTAAGCTACGACCTAGATGAAGGGACGAGAAAACTGGACCGCTGAACTATCATCATTGTCTTCCTGGCCTGTAAACTGGTTCGGAGAAAGTCTATGGAGGCTCATCTACTCATATCGTCTGAGAAGAATGTTTTCTGTTATCACACAGGATCCATTTCTCATCACACTTTTCTGCCAATTTAATAGGATGAACGAAGGGCTCAACATCACTGCTTCTTAAAAGCGAACCTGGAAGCCCTAAGCGCTTGAATGGCAGCTGCGCTTGGTGAGGCAGAAACGCCAATATTCCTCGCGATCTATTCGAGAGTTGACGTCGATCTTCCTCGACTGCTCTTATCAAAGCATCGTGATCAAGTAACGGTCGACCAACTCGTTCTTTTCCTTCCATTGACTCGCCTCCATTTCTGAACTTCCGAAAACAGTGATGCACCGTTCGCTCCGATGCAGTATCTTCTCCCCATGCAACGTTAATGTTTGTGGCTGCCTCCATTGCAGTTCGACTGAGCTTGAGCTCGTAAAGTGAAATCGTTCGAAGAGTCTTTCCCACCCTGCAAAGTCTTGAAAATTTCAAAAACCTTATGGAATTTTAAGAAAAGCACTCTGACTGAAAGAGCAACTGACGACTTACCCAAGAAGCACAATGCGTCGATTGGTTTGACTTGACAGCCGCCAAGATTTGAATTCATATGGCGCGTGCGCAAAAACGACTGTACAAGATATTTATGAGGAGTGAGCGGTCCTTGTGTGACTAATCGGAGCCTTAACTCGACGTCCTAACGGGAATTGCTGTGACCCCTTTTGCCCCATTTCATATCGGGCCATAATCTTATGGTCTTTGCTGACACTGCTTCTTCTCACACTTCTAGAAGTGAAACAATATTGGAAGAGAACAAAGAACAGTTCCATTTCTTCATAAATATATACATATTGATCTATCCACAATACCAACATAAGGAAAAACGGAAAGTTAAGTGACATAGTGTGAAAGTAAAAACGTTTTGTAAGTGGAGGCAAGACGATTGACATGAGGGTAGTGAGAGTGTGGAACGAACGAAAAAAGGCAAGAATTGGGCACCGGAACAAAATGATCACTGGCTAGTAAGTAAAGCAAGACACAACAAACCTGAAGTTGTACAATCATCAATAAAAAAAAACGCGGTGAGAAATCAACGACTCAAAGATCTAACAGACCACGCTCGATTTGGCCCGCAAAGCAGTAGGCAGGCGAGGCACGCTAGCAAAGGATCTGGAAGGTCGGCACAAATACACGTATACATGCTGGAATTACTCGGTAATTTACAGTAACCTATTATGGAACTCAGATAAACAAAACAATCAGTTGATCAGAAATGATCAGTCGTTGTTCGATATCTAAGGAACTCCTCAGGCGGTCTGTCGTCATTCACAACAAGGTGTAAAGCACCATGTGAGTCGACCGATCGTAAGGATACGCCATTGTCGAGATCTGATGGTCGATACGTCATGTAACCGAGGATGGTGGCCAGAATTGACAGCAATTTACAGACGATCGCTGAAATAACACTGCTTTGGACCGACCCATTCATTTGGAACCACTCAGGAATGTACATTTTCTGAGAAAAAAATGGAGTTATGAAGTTTTTGAAGTATGAGATTTGTTACGCTTCTGAACAATAAAGGTACAGTCCAGGATAAAAAGAGGTACATTCTCAAGTTGAATAAGAGAAGTATTGGTGCAGGTTGGCACTTGAGGGAAAAACGCAAAATCGGCAAATTTTGCAACATAAATAGGGCGGGGCTAACGAGGTTACGACCAGGAAAGGTACAGAATGAGTATTTGGACGAGATTTTAGTCGAGGAACTTGCATAGAGATTTGGCCATTGTAAACAAAAAAATACAGGAAACTGCTTTATCGTCATGGATCAGCTTTTTGAATTTCCATCATAAATTTTCCTTTACGAATGGTGCAGCCTTACAAAACCGGCCATTTCTGGAGGTGATATACAAAGGTTAGAATGTTGAGGCCCTTATTGCGCACTATGTAGACTGTTCTTCTACAAGTCGACAGTCCATGGGCATGATCCCCACTAGAAGAGGTTCTGAATCGATGAATGAAGCTAGTTACGTGTAGAAGCAGAAGAGGGCCAAGGTGGCTGGCTTCCAGTAGTCCCTTTGGCTTCTATTTTTTATTTATTTTTTCAGGATTTCAATCCCACTGTCAGCCATTCTTAAAAATTCAAGACACTTTCCTTTTGCTTTATCTTTAGAGGGCCCACAAAGCTCGGCCATCCAATAAAGAAACACTCACCAAGGGCTGTAATTGTCCAGCTGAGTTTTAGAGGATCATATACCCGGCATGTTTGCCGATGGCCACAACTCATTTCCCAGTCCATGCAGGCTATGTCGATAAGCATCCCAAACAGAATTCCTCCAGGAATGAAGCCTTAAACAAAAATAATGAAAAGATGTAAATTCTAACTCGTTGAGTTCGGGTCCCTGCTTCGATTGTGACGAGCCCGGGATGGCACAGAACGTTTCTGCCTTCATCTTCGTATGTTCTTACCGAGCAATCGGAGGAAGGTCCAGTTGATTCCCAATGCCAAAGTTCGTTGATCAAATGGGACAACGCGGAGCATTATCTGAACAAATGAGAAAATACTTTCATATGACCAGTAGGAAGCCCTTATTATTAACATGCAATAATCTATTGGAAACGTTCAATTCTGGTGGCCTGGATTGGGAGGCTCTCCAGAATTTCGGGTTTCAGCTCGACCTTAGAGCAGGTTATCGAGTGTGCAACATGATCAGTGTAGGGTCGAGTGGTAGTTGGTAATGTCGCTAGAAATGACTTCAACAGAACGACCCTCTGACAATGTTGAGCTTCACTCGGGAACAGAAGCACGCTTATCTCCTCTCCACTGCATACCACTACCTATCTTAAAGTTAAGGAATGGATGGAGGTTGTGTAGGTGATTTTTTGAAGTTTCATCAAATCTTTATCCATCTGGCCACCCCTTTCGCAAATGGCGCCCAACCTTATCGGGTAAATGATTTCCACTATTTTCGTAACGATTTTGTCTCAATATTGCTAAAGACGTAGTGAAAGAACGTTTCACTCAATTAATCTACTTATTTCGCACTCGTTGATTCCATCATCCTAAAATGTATGGGCAATGTTAACCTAGTCGGTATAATGCCAATACCTGTTGTGTAGGAATTCCTGAAGCGAAACTAGCAACAACGGTAATGAACAGTGTGCACATAAGCACGTAGACGTTGAACCCGCAGTCGATCGCACAATACCTGAGAAATCTTTGTTTGAGACGAGTAGAACTAAATTTTGATATTCCCAATTCTCGAATCTGGGAGTAATATCATTGGGCTTCCCACAATTGTCTCTTTTATTCCCTGTAAACTTCCCCTGAAATTATACCTATCAAACTAACGGCTTGATTCCAATCTCAAAAGCTCTTGGCTTTCCCCAAATAGCTGACGAATGACAATTAAGCAGAAGATGATCATTTTTCAAAGGAACCTTTTCATATGGATTTGATTATTAAGCTATGTCTCGAGAGAGGACTGACCCTCCGTGAAGAGTGTCATCATGTTGGACTTTTTCGTGACCGTGAGTGAAGTTCGTTTCGAGACATTGGCAATCTTTCCATTCAGTTTTCTAAAGATAAGTTTTAGAAGTTTTTCCTCCGAAACTTCGATTCTTTATCATTGAAAATATTCATATTGCTTTTTGGGTCAAACGATTGGAGATCATGACCGTTGGAGGGTCTTACCAGGAATATTCTTTGCAGTAGTGGGATGGCCATAACACTAAGGTGTGGGAGTTAAAGTGGGGATATATCGAACAGATGTATCCAGCTGAGGTTCTCCCAAGCTCATCCGAAAGGGACAGAGGTCTCCAACTTGGGGTGAGTCCATGGCGAGTCGTTGGTGAATTGATCAAGAGATCTATGTCCGTAGGGGAAGACAGGAAGCAGCCACCCGGTCTCTCTTGTGAACCATCTAACGTTGCATTTTTTAGATGCAAAGTTCTGATACTGCTTTACTCCACTATTTTGAACATTACATGTATGTAAATGAATACAATAGGTTAAGGAACTTACTCCGCCGAATTCCGCTTTACTTCTGCATCCGGCGTAACAGGGAGAGAAATACATTCGACCTGTGCTCTGCTCACATACCGGATTGAATTCACTCTGAAAATGTCATATTCGCAGTATTTCCCAGATATCGTTCACATAATCGAAGTTTTCGACAACCACTGGTCGGATTTTCATAGTTAATATTTGAAGAACTGTGGGGTTAACAATAGTAGCTTCATACTGCTTTTTGATTTTCAGATATGGGTACCTGCATAATGACTTAATTATAATGAGTATTTTGCACCTTCAAAGGTACAGCCCGTGGTAATTCTGTGATATCTAGCTTAACGAAAATGAGTGAAGTTATGGTGCAGAGTAGTGCAAAAATCTCGAATAAAGCGTGAAAATTGAAGGACTCTGAGAAATAAGAGAAATTCAAAAGAAATCAATAAGAAAGGGGTTTGCTCAAAATTATGGGTCCTACATAAGCGTACATGCTTAATGAACCAACCCTTCTTTGTGAGTGGCGCAGCCTATGAAGCCGTCATAACACTGCCGCTTTTGACGGTGTACATTTGCCAAGCCCAGTTTTGGAGCCCTTGTGGCTCCCAAGGATAGTATGTGAGACATTGGCGGTTCAAAAAACGGTTCTGTCGAGGTCGTTCCTCGACCCGACAATGTCTCGCGGGCTATCCTTGGGAGGCCACGAGATCATCCTGAGAAGCAATCTCAGAAACCATTTTTATCGTGAACTGTGTGTTTATAAATAAAAGTTGTAGCCTTTTTTCACTAAGAGCTCACCGGTATTGTAGAAAAAAATATTTTTTTAGTGATCGAACTTAAAAGTTTGAAAAGGTTAGATCCTTATAAACAAACATACCAAACAATTACAATTCGCATTACACGAGTCTTCCTTGTGATGTTCAGCATTGGAGTGGATATCGCTGGAAAAACGAATAACCCTGTGTATGTGTAGAAGGATATCGGCTCACAAGATGGGCTTACATATCATCGTAGGCGGTATTGATACCGACGAAACTCCTCTGCGGGCAGTGAATCAGTAGACCGGTGGTGAAAATTAAAGCCGTCACATGGCAGACGATTATCATTTTCAGCATTCCGCCAACCTGTAATGGAATTGTACGAGTACTTATAATAATCCACTGAAATCAATTGTGACGTTTTGATTAGCAAATTCTATTTTGGAGTACATTCGGGAGCGCTTCAACTGTTAATTCAAGGATAAAAGAACAAATTAAAAACGAGCAACCCTGTAAAAAATAAAAATAAAGTAAATAATAAATGATAATGTCTATAGATTATTATCGTTTAACGGTCAGTCGTCGGCACAATTATTAAATTTCAACTAATCAATTTCAAAACCAAAGCTTCTGCTTACTTGGACAATTAATCGTAGACGAGGTGAGTATAACATTTCAGCAAGGAGCAACTTAAAATAGAATAAAATCGTTAGAAGTTGTACATATGGTCGCTGAGGAATTAATTTAGCTTAGTATAACTCAAAAAAAAATCAAGTTTTGGGTTTGTTTCAGAGTCAACTTTCTATGATTCTGCAATTTTGAATGGACTGTTTTTACATTAATTTCAGCTGCCGAATTGAGCAGGCACATTTCCATTTCACAGCCTGTGCGGCGTAATCCAATGTGCTCGGAGCCATCTGGCGCGTTCTCAGGTTATGGCCGTAGGAGCTGCCGTCCGTCGTGGGTTACATACATACATGCATACATTCATTCGTACATACATACGCACATTTATGCATACATACTTATATACATACATTTAGTTGTATTTACTTTCTATATATAATAACACTTACACGTTATTGCGCCCCAGTCAAATCCATTTGGCTGCGTAACTGACTATTGCATGTATCTGCATTCAAAAAGGTACTTCTTTTACTCCTCCTATATATTAGTCTCACCTTATTTATGACATTATGTTTCTTTTTCATTCTTTTCCTATCCTACCCCATTTCTACACTTTAATTTTTCCTTCTCAAACAGAGACTTTTTACTCGTGCATTAGTTGATTGTTTTATAATTCTAATTTATTCTTGTCTATACTTATTCTTTTCTTTCTTTACTTTATTATTCGACTATTCTCTACACTAATTACTTATTATAATTTCTTTTTGTTAAGTAATATTTCTTAATACACTCTCTTACACTAATGCTATTATTTATTCATACCACTACTCACAATTTATACTTTACCCCTAGTCACCGACGAGCCTCGGGGGTAGGTGAAAAGCGAAGTGATTCTTCTGATTCAGAGGCGAAACGAATCACTTACGTTTAATTAATAAACAAATACTCACGAAGACTTTTAGTTTTTTCTTTTTATTGGCTGTGTATATATAATAACAATGAGCGGACAAAGCAGCTACAGGACGAGAGGGCTCCCAACCCAAATGGACTGCTGCAAAAGAAAACTGGAGAAAGCTATGAAAATGGAGTGATTTGAACTCGAGATGGTGTGTGAGGGTGCCACGACTCTGCACAACAGGCCCGCACCTCGGCGTAAGGCAGTGATGGAAAAAGGACTACGGAGTATCAGAGTACACAACGCTTCTCACAACGACGGGACATTATCGATAGACCCTCAGCTAGACGTCTTTATGCAACAGTTGGTGAAGAGTGAAGATGGCATTGTAGGTGTTTGTAAAACTGGGAGAGCACATGACGTCAAGCCGTCTCAATGTTGCTCCCGCGCGGTCAGATCAAGCGCCACGGAAAGAGCGGGAACGAGAGAGGCATTCTTCATTCGTTTCTGATGGTTATTCTCTTAACTAACGCGCGTCACTAACTCGAAGATGAATATTTCTTACTTAATAGTTAGCTCTTGAGAGAGTCTTGTTTACTGGATCGCGTAAGAAATATAAAACTACGTGACAGGCAAGCTATTCGCGTAGATCCCCGTCATTGGGTGCATCGGCCAATTGGCACTTTAATCGAGCGACCAGTAGAGAGGTAGGTTTCAAAAACTTATAAATCGACATTTTTATAAGTAATAGTACATTCTTTGAGTTAGTTTCAAACGCATATTCACCTCAATTAAATGGAACCACTGATGAAAACATTATTCTCAACTTACGAAAGCTGGGCTTCGAACGCGTATTCTGTTGGAAACCCATGAGATATTGATCGTGTCATTGAACCTGATTTTGAATTGAGTTTTTGTTTTAAATTAACTTGGAGAGAACAGTAGCGACAGTAGTCTATTCGAATAGAACATTTCTTCGATTCAGTTACAGACGGGGATCAGGAATGGAACATTGCCTTAGAGAGAGCATACTGTCAATCCTACCTAGCCCGATGCGGCTACTTGGAAAATCACCCAAAAGAAATGTTGTTACTACTAATATCGTGTCCCAGGCACTTCGTTTGAGTATCTAATTCATAAGGCGGTCATAACATGGCTTTGTTGTTACGGATGTTACGGTAGGTCGCCTCCGTGACCTACATCCTCTCTTGGCGGGAATTCACGTTGAGCGGGAATGCCCTCCTATACATAGCTCCCTTTTGTTGTTACCAGTCAGTTGGCTAATTAGTTAGTTAGGGAGTTAGTCTCCCTCTCGTTATTTTTTCTCTTGTGCTTGCTTTCATCCTCTTGCTTTAACAAACTCTTAATTTCTTCGTCCTTTTCCTACCCCCCAGAGAAGCCATAGAAATTGGTGAAGAAATCCCCCTGAGCCGGAAGCTACTAGCGGTTTCCGGCTTAAACCCTGCCCGGTTCCGAGTTCGCTCGTTGATTCCGGGCACGTGAAGTGCGGAAGTGAACGCTACTTTGTGCAACATCCCAGACAGAAGCACAAAGGCAACTGGAGAACGCAGAAGAGGGGCTATTTGTGCTGGAAGAAGAAATGGAAGAGGAAATGTTATCGATGGATTGAAACATGAGAGTGTATGAGAGTCGACAGTGAGTTGAAAGGTAGATGGAAACAGTTGATCAATATAATATGCTATAAGCGTTCAATATTTGCTCATCTGCTAATTTATTTAACTCTTATCTTCAGTATGTTCTGATTAAATCATTATCGGAGATTGACGTCAAGCCGTCTCAGTGTTATTCCCGCGCGGGCATATCAAGCACCACGATCACGCGGAAATGACTGAGGCATTCTCCCATTTCATCTTATCCGACCATCGTTTGCAGTGTTTGATTGCTATTCTCTTTATTAACACGAGTCACTAACTTGAGGATAAACATTTCTTGCTCAATAGTCAGCAATTGGGGGAGCGTATCGGGCCGCGTAAGAAAAAAAAAGCGCGTAACGGACAAACTATTCGCGTACGACAAGAGAACCCGCTCGGCACGAGCACGAGCAGTCTCAGCGAAGTGGTCAAGCGGTGAGGAAATTTTGCTGCGCGAGATGGAACTGGTAATGTGTCCAGAACAGTTGGAGTCGGTTCCATCGTGAAAGGCAAGATGGTCCCGTACATCATTTTTTGCATTATCGAGTCCCCACATGTCACTGTTATGAATGTCAAGATGAGAAATCTGCGGAATCGAGCACTAAGAAATGTACAAGTGTGTGCGCTCACAGCTTCCACTTGTCGTCTCCCTATTGGAGTACGGAACGCCTTTTAGGAAGGCACGGTACAGGTGTAAGAAACTAGAGGAAATCGTCTCATCGAATTCGCAAAACAACACTATCGCGGTTTCGCGATTAACACATCTTGGAAATAGGCCAAAAAGGGGAAATACACGTTTGAATGACGATCTAGATTAAAGGAAGTCGAACCTGGTCCCGCGCGGAAGAAGAAAATGTCGAACGCGGGAAGAAGAAAACATTGGCCTAAAATGGAGCAGGCCCATAGACTCGACACGGACGCCAACGCGAATCGGGTGGGGGGAGCCTTTTGATTATGCTTAATTGTTCATTGTTTCGTGTTCTTCATTACGATTAACTATTCGTGTATCAATCGCATGTATCGTGAATTGTCGTTATTGTGTTGATTTTGTTAGTTTTATTGAAGAAGGGTTTAATTACCCAAGTTTGTGGTTTTTTGGATAAAGCCGATTGGCAACCGTTGTGTGGTGTTGGTCGTGAAGTTCCGCGTGGCACGGTTTTATGTTCTGGTTGTGAAGTATTCTGTCAACCGCCGAGAGAAAGAAGTTCCTTTACGACGACAAAGGGAGGAACTTCTTTTAAACACCATGCCTATGATCTTCAAAAAAAACCCAAGCCTCTTTGGACATGGCGGGGGGCGGGCACGAAAATATGAAGGCTACACACGGAACAAACTTCGTGAAGCAGATGAGAGGATGGTAAGCTTGAATGTTGTAGAAAAGGCAGGGCTACATATACCGCCTTCTGTCGAGGACAATACAGGTGTGAGGCCTGCGGATCAACGAGCCAAACGAGCCAAACGGGCTCCTGCTGAAAAAACGTTCCTAGATGCTATGTAGAAGGAAGTTGAGAATGTAGTAAAACAAATGAAACTGGGAAAAACCTAGGAAAAACCGCGATCATATCCTTTCAGGAAACCTAAATGCAGGCGGCTTACCTTTCTTCATAGCGCAGGCAGAGCGTTTCAGTGAGTACTGAAGTAAGAAAAGGATTAATGGAGCGTAGAAGAAATCAAGAACGATAGCAATGGAAGAAGGCAGTTCTGACAGCCCGGATAACTACAGATCCATCACTTTGCTGTCTCAAATCTATAACACCTACACTAGAATAATCCTAAAATGCATAATCAGACATCAATACATGAGCCGAGAGCAAGCCGGATCTCAAATTGATACTCCGCGCTCAGCGATTTGAACGCTGCACGCCAGCCTACGAAGAACGTGGAGAGTATCGGATCCCTTGCTTATGGCATTTGTTGACTACAGGTAAGCTTTCGACTCAGTCGCGATACTAAGTAAATGCGTTGAGTACATATTGCAACCGCAACGCGGTTCAAGTTACAATCTCGGCGCATCGAGCCTTGCGCGACTAGAAACATCTTCTTATCTAAACTTTCTCACAAAACAAAATGCCACTTTCCAGTCGTGCGACCCATAAGCACCTATAAGCACGTTCGAATGAGGACAGACAGGACAGGACAATGTTCACTTATTTTTCTTTGCTTTATATCAGTCATACGTCAAACAAGTATCG